GTCTTTTTGAGACAGAGTCTCGCTGTGCAGTTCAGGCTGGCCTTGAGCTCACTTTGTAGCCCAGGCTGGTCTCTAACTTGCAGCAATCCTCCTGCCTCAGCCTCCCGAGTGCTGGGATTACAGATGTGCGCCACCACGTCTGCCCTCGAATTTTTGTTTTATATAATTTTTTAGCCTGTGGTTCTCTTCCTCAGAACTTCTGCAGTTTGAGAGGAACCCCCTCCCCCCCATTGCACCCAACGTTTTTGCACTGAGGTACATCCTCAGTCCTTTTATATTTTGTACTTTGAGTCAGGGGCTTGCTAAGTTGCCAAATTGGGCTTGAAGTTGAGATCCACTTGCTTCAGCCTCTCAGAGTGCTAGGAGTACAGGCTTGCCCCACTATTATCTGGCTGGAATGGCTGCCAGCCTTTTCTTTCCTCTAAAATTTGCATTATACAAATAAAATGCTTGTTAAATTCTTTTTTTCTGTTTTTCTCCGGTACCGGGAACTGAACTCACGACCTTGCGCTTGCCAGGCAGGCGCTTTTGCCGCTGAGCTAAATCCCCAGCCCCTTGTCGCATTTTTTTAAATCAGCAGGGATGTATTAAAAATGAAGAGTCATTCACAATAGAAACTAAAGCAGTTAAGGGTCAGTCTAACAAGATCTACATGAAGAAAAGCACCCAGAGTTTCAGAGTAACCTACATTCCCCCTTGGCCCATTAGAACCCAAAAGTCGTAAAGAGGAGTTGCTGAGCGTTACCTGCAGGCTCTGGCCTCAGAAGAAATCCTTCCATTATGTAACAGAACTTTACTTTTTTAGCCTTTGTTATTGTTTGTCTGAGACATGATCTCACTATGTAGCCCAGGCAAACCTCACACTCTCAGTGACCTTCATGCCTCAGCCTCCCAAATACTGGGATTATAGGCCTGTGCTACCAAAACCGATCTGTAACATCATTTTAAAACTATGTGTATCATGTTTACAAAGTAACATACTGTATTAAGCAGAAAAAGACGAGCCTTTTGAAAAGATGTATTTGCTGGGCATGGCGGCACACACCTATAATCCCAGCACTCAGGACACTGAGGCAGGAGGATCACCGTGAGTTCAAGGCCACCCCAAGCTACATAAGCCAGTTCAAGGCCAACCTGGACCACATAGTGAGACCCTGTCTCAAAAAGCAAAACAAAAGGGCCAGGGATATAGCTCAGAGGCACAGTCCCTACATGGCAAGCATGAGGTCCTGAGTTCGATTCCTGATACAAAAAAAAAAAAAAAAGAATAAACACAAAGCAAAACAAAACACAAAAACAGGTGTTTGAAGCAATAGCAGGAAGCAGGTAGAAGCCATAGGACAGATCCAGAAGGAAATCCTGGAGCGGGGCTTTCTGGAGGGAAGTGGTTGGTTTACATTTGGGGATAGCATCCTTGTGATTCCATGTCACAGGGACACACAGATTGGTCCTGGTGGGGTCAAGCATGGTGCTGGAAGGAGCTCCCACGGCCGTGGCTTCCATTCTGTGCTCAGTCCTGCCCCTGCCCACTTGCCCTCCCTCCAGGCCCCATGCAGGGAGCCCACAGGCCCCGCGGGGCGAGGCCTGGATCCCACCCCCGCACGGTGGGTGGTGAGGAGCCCAGCGCTGCCCACGCTGACCCTGCCCCCTCTCTCCGCCCCGCAGACCGCCCGGGCCTGCTGAACGTCAAGCCCATCGAGGACATTCAGGACAACCTGCTGCAAGCCCTGGAGCTCCAGCTCAAGCTCAACCACCCCGAATCCTCACAGCTGTTCGCCAAGCTGCTGCAGAAGATGACAGACCTCAGGCAGATCGTCACGGAGCACGTGCAGCTGCTGCAGGTGATCAAGAAGACGGAGACGGACATGAGCCTGCACCCGCTGCTGCAGGAGATCTACAAGGACCTGTACTAGGGGGCCGCCCCGCTGCCGATTGCACTAGTACATTTACTGTGAACAAAAAAGCATTTTAAAAAGAAAAGCGTTTAGAATATGATCTATTTTATGCATATTGTTTATAAAGATACATTTACAATTTACTTTTAATATTAAAAATTATCGTGTTCTAAAATTGCTGAGAGTATTGGAAGACTCTTTCGTGTCCTCCGTGGACTCTCCCGGGCTTTCTTCCCCCTGGTATTTTCTTCCTTCTTCGGGTCTTTCTATTTAACATGGGGATGGAATGGCTGATTGACTCTCTCTCTGCCAAACACTTCTTTATTCAGTTTACAGCCTTTCTCACCCCCGTCTGCCTTCACCGTCACAGCCAGGAGGGAAGAGGGGCACCAGCCCCAGAGCTGCGCAAAGCACGCGTTTCTTGTCCCTCGGCCCGCCAAGAACTCAGCCTTCCTTCTCCGCAGTCCTGACGAAGTTCACCCACATACACCAGCGGCCTTTTCAATGTACAGGGCCTTCCCCAGGTGCCACAGCCATGAGCCACGGCCTTTATAGCAAACGTCTTTGCATCTGACCTGCGCCCACCCTCATCTGTTCTAAAGCCCTCGCTCTGTTACTTAGAATAGCTAACCCACTGGCAGTGCTGAGTCCACAGTTGTTAGGCTGTGCCGATCAGGGAATAAAAACAAGCAAAACCAAAGCCTGTACGGGTCCGGCATGGAGATGTCGTTTTTTTCAAATGCTTGATCCTGGTCCGTTGGTTGAATCCACGGGTGCAGAACTCCCTGTTTCCAGGGCAAGCGTTCCCTGGACGCGGGTGCAGCTAGAAGTTCTGGGGAGCAAGCACTTACGATCGGATATCTGCCCCCAAAACCTTACAATTGAATGGGAGAGAGAAAGTGAGCTTTCTTAAAACAAATGACAGCGCCGTGGTGACCGCGGGTCCGCGGAGGGATTCAGACTCTTCGGGCCGTGAGAGCTCCACGGAGGTAAAGAGCGATACAGCCGGAAGAGCAACAAGCCTAAGACTCCGTGACGCAGCGGGTGTCGGGTTGGAGATAGGTGGAGAGTGGCGACGACGGTGTAAAAGAGCAAAATAGGAACAGTAGCAAAAGAAAGAAAGGGAAAATAGCTACTTCCTGGGTCCTAGTTGAGCAATTTTGCTGTTATTCGTGTCACCCCTTCGGGACAGCTTGTGCAGAGATCTCTTGCTTTTAGAACCGAAAGGCTGACAATCCGTGTCATATATGTGCGCAACCCTCCCCAGCAAATAGACCCTACATCCCCTAAAGGCGGCGTGTTCAGCAGCTTTCTGTCACTGGGACCAAACGCCTGGGAAGAGCAACTCAGAGGGGGAGGGGTCTGCTGTGGCTTACGGTGTCAGAGGTCCAGTCTGTGGTAAGGCAGCACTGCTGCTTTTAAGCCTGTGAGAGGGGAAACGTCGTGATGGGAGGCCTTGGCAGAGCAGGGCCGCTTGCCTCGAGGAAGCCAGAGTTAAGGGGCTGGGGAGCAGATAAGGCCTGCAAGGTCACAGCCCTAGGACCCGCTCCCCCTACTCGGCAGTACCCACTGCCCAAGTTTCCACGGCCTCACAGAAATGGGGGCTCCCAGTAACGGCCTCATCATGCTTTCATCAGTGCGTTAATCTGCTGCTGACAGCAGAGCCCTGGGACCCAGTCACCTCCTGGAAGTCCCTGCTCTGCACACCTGAGACTCATAGGGACCCGTTCGGTCTAGGGCCAACCAGGCAGGTGCCTTCTCGGCACAATGAATAGAATGGCTGGTTAAAGCCTCCAAGCTCACTAGCTCTGGCTACTTGTGAAGCCACCACATTTGTGTGTTTGTGTTTGGTGCTGGGGATGAGCCCGGCCTGGCACTTGAGGGCCACACGCCGGCTGCAGAGCCGCAGCCCAGCCCACCCCCTGCCACGTGGTCTCTGGGACGGTTGTTCCCCCAACCTAAGCTATCTCCCTCAGCTTATCTCTCTGTAGGTTTTTCTTCCCAGGAGGACACAGCTCTGAATCTGGGGCTTTCAAGCCCAGAACATCAAGAAAGAGCGTTTCATCCTTTTTGCTGGCTGCGAGGTGGGGCGCAGGCGCGAGTTCCAGCCCAGCCCCGAGACCGCAGCCCTCTCGGGGGTCGTTTCGGAGCTGAAGCCCTCAGAACGGCAGATAATAGCCAAGCCGCACTGGGACTGGAGACCGGAGCCATTGTCGAGGTGACATGCAAACGTCTGGAAGGAAAGTGACAAACGCAGCCCATCGCGTGGGGATTTTTCTCTGCGCCAGGCTGTCTGGAGACATCGGGACAGCCGGTGCTCCGGTCTCCTCGGGAGCCCTTGTTGGGAAGGGAACGAGCAGGCGGTGGCGAGGCGGGGGACCAGGGGATCCCTTGTTTACAAGATCCTCGAACAAAAAGCCCTTCAGTTCCCACCAGGGCTCCTGGCCGGCCGAGCCCTTCCCACATTACTGGCCGAGCTGCCAGGGTGGGGGTGCGGGGGGAGCCGTTCAGCTCTTTGGCACCCATGCCTAGCATTAAATTAGCTTTTAAATCCTGGCAACTCTCAAATTCCCAGCTCTCGGCCTCTTTCCCTGTGGCTTGGAAGAGCATTTGCTAAATATTTTACAACACATTATATTCAGCCTCCCGCTCCCGCTCCCCCAGGGCGGCTCGCAAGTCAACCAGCAAATGTGCCCCGAGTTATTCATAGTACTCTCTCGGCGCTCGGCACGCTCGGGGCCTATGCTCACCAAAATGGGAAGAAAAGGAACCTTGGTCAGGAGTCAGAAAAGAGTTCTGAGGCACCCTGTGAGCCCTCACCCCAGCCCCCTGGGGCTCCTTGCTCGACACAGGGTCAATGGCGGACCTGAGGAGAGGCCATAGCTGCACCCCTATTTCTCCAGCCACAGTGGCACACACCTGTGATCCCAGCACTTGGGAGGCTGAGGCAGGAGGATCACTTGATCCCAGAAATCTGAAGCCAGCCTGGGCACCATAGATTCTGTCTCAAAAACTACATAAAACAGGATGCTAGGGTTTAAAACTCTGTCCCACTTCACTTGCATCTGCCTGCGGAGGCTGGGGGGAATCCCGTCCTACCCGAGGGGACCCAGGCTGCAGGTGGGTAGCTACAATTACTCAAGGGGAGTGACAGTGGCTGGAGACGCCAGGGCCATTCATAGAGGCTGTGGGGGTACACACGGGGGTGAGGTGTGTGGCAAAGTGTTCTCCCTGGACGGTACCTGGAGATGCTTGGGAGCAGGGGCCGTGGCCAAGAGAAGGTGAGGCTCACGTTCGGGATTGGAAGTCAGCTCTTCCCAAAGCAGAAACCTGGCTCCCCCAGGGCCTTCCCACCCCTCTCTGCTGCCCTGGGTGACCAGCAGCCTGGGCGGCTCTGCCTGGGCTCACACCCACCGCACCTCATTCCCGAACTCTGAGGCTGCTGACTCACTCTGGCCCCTCCGATCCACTTCCGGGCTTTGGCCCAGGCTCAGCACTGCCCCCACCAGGCCTCCTGTGCCCAGGAGCCAGACCTATGTCCCAGGGACAGACTCCCGCTCCCTCCGCCACCACTTCCTCACACCTCAAGGTCATGCCCATCCCCTTCTCCAAACCTGCCGCCCTGCCTGCCTGCTCTAGAAAAGCCCTGCCTTTTTCCTTAAATTCCCGAAAGCTAGGGCTGGACTGTGCCTCAGGGTGGGGCATTTCCCTAGCGTGAGTGAGGCCCTGGGTTCCAGCCCCAGCACTGAAAAAAGGGGGGAAAGGAAGAAAGAGAGAATACAAAATTAAGAGTTCAAAGAAGCCAACCACAAAGTACCAAGCCTGTAATCCCAGAACTCAGGAGGCTGAGGCAGGAGGATCACTCCAAGTTTGAGGCCATCCTGGGCTCCATAGTGAGTTCAAGGCCAGCCTGAACCACATGAGACCCTGTCTCAAGAAAAGAGCAACAACAAGAAGAAAGAAGCCAACTAACTTATTTGACAAGACAAGCGAGCACCCTGAATGCCAGAGAAGGTACAGAAGGAGGCCCAGGTCCTAGGAGGCCGCAGAATAATTTATTCAAAGGCATCTATCACACACTGACCCCACCCAGGGGTCTTAGCACCCGTGAAACCTAAAGCAGCGTGGACGCCTGCAGTGGGGGCTGAGGGCCAAGGAAGGAGCCACGTCCTTGTGGGAGAAGCCTGTGGCACCGGCCCTGTGTCCAGCGTGCAGTGCGTTCAACGTGGCCAGAGCATCAGTGTGGCCTGCAGCTACGCTGACTGGAGCTAAGACTCACCGGCTCAATAGCCCAGACTCTGGCCAGCGGTGGGCCTCTCTAGACCTGAGCTGCCCACCTGTGTGAGCCGGGACAGCCGTGCCCAAGTCACAGGCTTGCTGGGATTAAATGCAATGGCGGTTATAAAACACTTCGCAGTTTCCTGACTCATCTCAGGGTCAGCTGGCAATGGTCACAGGCAACTTTGTTATTGTTTTTAAAGTGCCCTTCACCAGCCGGGGTGTGGCTGCACGGCAAAGCACTTGCCTGGCAAGGCCCTGAGTTCTGTCTCAAGCACTGAAGAAAAAAAAAAAGCCAGGCATGGTGTTACACACCTATAATCTGAGCCACTCAGGAGGCTGAGGCAGGAGAGTCACAAGAGGCCAGTCTAGGCAAGTTAGTGGGACCTTGTCTTTAAAAAAAAAAATTTTTTTAAGGGCTAAGTAGTGGAGAGAGAGAGAGAGAGAGAGAGAGAGTACAGGCAGACAGAAGGAGAGGGAAAGGAAGAAAGAGGGGCGGGAGAGACTCTTTCAAAAGATTTTGTCCCAATCCACATGTACTAGGAGAAAAAACATTCGAGGGACAACTGCTGTGTTCTGATTCGGAACAAACGCTCAGGATGAAGCCACAAAAACATTTTCTCCAAAAGCAGTAGGTCTTTCCTCTTGTGATTTATGCTGCTAATTTTAGACAGATATTACATAGTTCACATTTCCAGAGGAGTCAGAAAGAAGAGGAAAATTGCTAATTCGAGTCTGTGGGGAGCGAGCTGGGCTATTTCCGGCCCCTCTGGAGCTGTGTAAATAGTTCCAGGCTGGGGTTCCCAGGAGGGTGTCATCTCCGGGGCCCATTCAGCGCCCTGGGCTGGTCTTTGAGAGCGTCCCAGGGGCCTTGGACAAGAGCAGGAACCCCGGGGCTG